TCCCCAGCGGAGTGATTCTTTATTTGGTTGTTACATCAGCATCGAAAAAAAACAACAACAACGAAGATTGACATATATCAGATTTCTGAAGCTGCGGCCTGTTGACAGAATGGGTGCCAAGCAGTCGATTCAGAATTCCCCCAGGAGAATTGTCCTCAAGTTCGCAGTGAACTGTGACTTGACCAGATTTGATCCCATGAGAGAAATGGGAATCAAGTCGTTTGCTTTTCCGAAGCATTATTTCAATACTTGTGGCGTTACACAGGTGTTGAAAAGGAGAAGAAAATTTATCAGAAAATTGATCAGGTGTTGCCGTGACAACCAAACTTCAGTTTATTGGAAGCTATTCCTCAAGCAGTTTTGCAGTATATTCCCGCGGTTGGCAAATTTCAGGGTTTCATTTGTATTCAACCGTCATCTACCTTGAATGTTTGAAGGCTGAGCGCTCTTCACCCATTCAGGTCGAAGTCGCTTGAATAGGGGCAGCTGTTGCACCCCAAAATTTGACCAACCGGGTCTCGTATCTGCCTCGAGGTTTCGACGCATAATCGCATTCGCATCTGCATATTGCATACATTGCATTTTTCATTTTATCAGGGATCACAGCTCTCGTCTCGTGTTTTAGGTGTTTTTTATCAGTTCAGATAGGTAGAATCGATTTTTGGGATATTTCGGTGCCCGTTTATTTTTACCGATTATTTTTGTGTCGTTCGGTGCTTATTTTGTTCCCTCGGGAATTATCGTGATTTTTTTAGATTTTTTAGGAATTTTTAGGATTTAATAGGATTTTTAATAGTTTAAATAGATTTTTAAATCATTTTTAGGTTTAATAGGATTTTTTAATAGTTTTAATTCTTTTTAAATAGATTTAATTAGGTATTAAATAGATTTTTGATCATTTTAAGAGTTAATAGATTTTTTAGGATAATATAGAATTTTCTAGGATATTAATGGTTTTTTAAATAGTTAATAGCTTTTTTTAATCTTTTAATATAGTTTTTTTCTTATTAAATAAATGAGTTTTGTTAATAGAAAATTAAATGTTTTTAATTTTAGGTATATGATAATAGATTTTTTTCCTTTTATAGAGTTTAAATAGAAATAATATAGTTTTTTTGCATAGAATTTGATATAGTTGTTTTTTATAGATATTATAGAAAATTAATAGAATAGGAGTTAATTAGATTTATTAGGTTTAATTGAGTTTAGTTTAGTTAATTAGGATTAGATATTAATTAGGTTGTTAATCCTTGTTTTAATTCAGTTTTTTGTGGTTTTTTCTGATTTTCGTTCAGCCCAGTCCAAGGCAGAGCCCAATTCAAAGTTCAGCAAAAAGTCCAATTTTTTGTCCATATTCATCCACCAGCTTCCTGCATTTTCCTGCACCGTCCAGAACATTCCAGAACATTCCAGCGAATCTCATGTGTTTAAATATCAGAAGCCACGTGGTAATCAAGGGGGGGCCCCACGCTGCATCACCCACATCACGCCATGCCACCTTTCCGTTTCCTCTCCACCTGCCACGCCTCCTGCCACACGTTCACCATGCACGCCACCACTCCACTAACTCCCCCCACGTGGCATCACCATAGCGCCTCGCCTGAAAGAGCCACCGGCCGGCCTGCATGGCCGGCGGCCACCGCGCCGTCGCCGGAAACCCACCAAGAACCCAGAATCTGTTCATCTTCAACATCTTCCTCCCTAATCTTCATCTTCCTCCTCCCAACAACCACCAGAGTTTCGCCGGAGAATCTCAAAGCTCCAGAACTCCGATCAAGCTTCATCAACGCAACAAATCCAGAAAACCTCCGGCGACCACCCTCGACCTCACCAAACCTCCATAACATCATCAACCTTCAACCGATCGTCACCCAGAAGATCATCAGTTCATCCGTTCCTCAATAATTCAAGAACAAAAATTCCAGAAATGCAATCATCATCATCATGTGTTCATCAAGGATTTTCCAGAAGAACAACACGATCCCCAGATCTTCATAGAGCTTCATCAAGAACTCTCAGCATCCACAAACAACCTTCAAGAACACTCATCAACGAAGAACGCTCCATGAACTCCAAGATCTTCAATCAACCAGAATCATCATCACCAGAAATTCAAGAACTTCGTCTTCTTCCAATCTCCAGAACACGCAACGATCTTCATCAGCAACAACATTCGAACAAGTTTTCAGAACCTTCCTAGGAGTCATCAATCTTTTCCAGAAACGTTCAATCCTCCAGCATCAGAATCATCACTCATCAAGATCTGGTTGCATCTTCATCATTCCCTCAACTTTTCCAGAAAGGTTCTTCAAGAAACTTGTCATGTTCACTCCTTCATCAAACGCGAGCCAGGGTCCACGAATCTTCGTTTCCCTTATCTTTTTTCATTTTTGAGGAGAAACGAACAGAAGGAAGAGGTTTGAGGTTGAGTCTGGGAAGAACGAAGATTGAAGGAGAGGGAGGTTGGTGTGGAGGGATGTTGAACGGAGAAGTCTGAAAGGTTGTGACGGCGGCGGCGGTTGAGGTCTGTTAGGGTTTTCAGAAAGTTGGGAGAGTGAGAAGGAAGATGGACCGCGTGGGCCTTAGGGCCCAATTCCACTTTTTTGACATACACCCTTTCGTTTTTTGGCTGAAGAAACTGGGCCTGAGCCCAACGCCCTGACTACTCCAGCACACCACCATTTCACTACACGCACCCCCTCTCACGTTTTGGCTGAAGCCAGTCATTGGGCTGGGCCCAGTTTACTCATGTTTTTTTTATCTTATTTTCTGCTTAAACCCCTGTAATCAGCATACCCCCTCCCCTTTTGTATTTTCTTTTATTTTTTTATAATTTTCTTTTTCTCTTAGTTTTTTACAAAGAATGTGTGAGAAATATTATAAGAAAAAGAACAATAAAGAGAAAAGAAATGATGAAAAATGAAAAAGATAGAAAAAGATGAAAAGAATTATAAGAAAGAAATATTATGAAAAAGTGTGAGAAAAAAAGAGTAGAAAAAATATGTTGAAAATATATTTGAATATATTGAAAAAATATGAAAAAATAGAAAGAACAGATATTTGAAAAAAGGAAAAAATATTAAAGTAGGTTTAATATTTTTAGAGTTCATTTTCTTTTAGGACATATTTTCATAGAAATTATTTCTCAATTTTAGGGATAGTTTAGAAGCCCATTTGTTAGGGGGCTGTTTTCCATTCGATTTTTTAAGATAGAATAGGATAGCGTTTCCTAGGAGATTTATTTTCAGTATCCACTCATTGTAATCATTTTTCAGAGATTAATAAAACGAGATTTGAGCTGTGGTCCCGATAGTATCTGAACTACAGCTGCTCTGATTCTTCGTACCAGACGAAGATATGTAGGCATAGGATGCGATATCCTAGCGAGCACACTAACAACTGACTCTTGTTCTCTCGCTGCTGTGCGATCGAGACTTTCCCGCTGACGACTAATCGATACCCTTTTTTCTCTCTTGCCCGAGTGCATTTGAGACCAAACCATAGTTTTGCCCATAGGTTCCCGACCCTGTGAAACCAGTTGTTTTTCTCACTGCTGTGTGAGAATGTTTGTTTAGCCGTAGTTAGTCTGAACTACGTAGGCACAAGACGCGAGGTCTTGGCGAGCCAATTTTCCCTGTAGTCCCGAACTACGTTGACTCTGACTTTCTCTCTTGAGAATACGTAGGCATAGAGTGCGACGCTCTATCGAGTCAATTCCCTTCCGTTTAGATTTAGCAGCCGTAGATAGATTGTTTTGCATCCAGTAGACAACCCAAGCAAGCGTGGATCCCGTCGAGTACGACGGACGTGAGGGGTGCTAATACCTTCCCCTTGCGTAACCGACTCCCGAACCCAGGCTATGGTTGCAATGACCATACTTTTTCCCCATTTTTTGCGAGGTTTACTTCGAGCGTTTCCTTTCCCGCTCTGAGGGATAAATAACGCACGGTGGCGACTCTTCTGTCAGCCGGCGCCGATTTTCGCAGTAGCGACAGCTTGGTATCCCTCGTGAGGACATTATGGTACCTGTGTTGACATATATCAATTGCAAAAATTTGACTTCGATCATAATCCTTTAAACAAATGACACAAGTTTCTTTCAGACTATTTACATCATTAGATTCAGCGGCCTGGTTTATTTCCGCCCAAAATTAAAAGAAAATTGAAACCATAATTCTTAGACAACACTTTTCGAATGTATTTCTCTAAAATCTAGAGATACATTTCTAGACAATTTTAAAGTAAAAAAGAGTGTTTCAATTGCAACGTCTTTGGTAGTGCTCCAAAAATGCATCATCAGATTTCAGAAAGATTTTTTACTTTTCACCAAGGTGTGAAAGTACCGAGTAGCCCCTTAAATATTAACAAACAACAAGCAACTTGCATTTAAGATGCCGTAAGGGTCCAAATGATATGGACCCAAGATCAACTTATCAACAAAAAGATATTGATAAAGTTTAATATATGTAAAATATGTTTAAAATAATTAAATATGACAGGACCTCCCGAGAGAAACGAAGAAACTTCAGCAATTCAAACTCTTGGCAAGTAGATAAAAGGATGGGATTATAACGTGCGAAAATTATTACGAGAAAATTTCAGAGTGAATACTACTTTCTCCAATAGTCCAAACTACATTTTATGTGTGTGTAACCACAAATAACCAAAAAACAATAGCTAAACTTTGATGGACCTCTTTACAAAAATTAGTCTAACAACCCTTCTCTAACATTTTAACGTTTTCCTACTCTATGTGATGAAGAGAAAAAATTATGAAGTGAAAATTCTATTACAGATGATATCCACGACAGTTGGTCGAAATATGTCACACCAGCATAGCCATGGGAAAATGAGCAATGATTTTGTTGCTTGGGGTCAAATATCAAGCAAACCCACCTCCATAGCCACCAAATTGGTTCCCACAAATTATCATTGTTTCATTTATCTATGTATATATCCTCTGCAAATATTTGTCACAAACCGAGACAGTCGAGAGTTGATCAATTTTCATCCTCTGTTAAGGCGGCAAAGGAAAAAGGTTTGAACTTGTAGCCATCACCATGGTAGAATTTATTTTGAAATTCAACCCAATGAAGACGCAGGGCATGAAGAAAAGCGCTCAGAGTCTCCATCATAAGCAGTATAAAAGCAGTTGCAAAGGCAAAAACAACTAGCCCCACTAACCGAATGATAAGATTGTCATACCTATTATGATTGCAATCAGGGATGACATCAATGATTTAAGATGAAAAAATAATATTAAAAACGTAAATCCATATAGTACGCGATATCAAAAGTTATAAGACACTCTCACCCCCAAGCTAGTAGTAGGACTTTCTCATAAAAAACAGTTGAAAGTTCTGAGTGAGCCAAACTGCAAAGTGGCCAAAAAAATGAACCAAATCAAGAATTTATAAAATAGGAAGTTGTGGCAATTAGGGAAAATTGTGGCTGATCAAACCTTAATGCCCAAAGTCGGAGATATGATGCCGTATTTGAAACAGAACCCAAAACAAACTCAATGGAGTGAATCATTTGGTGAACAAAAACCTCACTGAAATTAAATTCCTCATGATGTTGCCTGGCAGAATCCGGTTCCACCTCAAGATCCACCTCAGAGGTATTCAGAACACCGTAATTACGTCCTTGAAATCTCTGAAATATCATCAAGATAACAAATAATAATCCTTGCAAAGTCTGTGACAATGCTTAGTTAATAACTAGCAGTAAACAAAACTACAGAACAAAGGCAAATATTATTGCTAGAAACAAAAACAATCAGCTTGGCCAATTGAAGCTGTTAGAATTTGTTTATTTTAGTCCAAAGGAGGTCTAAAAATGAATCTTAGGGAAATTTGTTGTTCTGCAACCATAAGCAGAAACACGGTCTTAAGGTAGAAACTAAAACTGTAGCATGTGTACATAATCTAGACTGTTTACATGTAATTAAAAAGTTTGGGAAACAAAGATACTATTAACTGAGAAATATTTGCATGAAAACGCACTTATATCCATATTCTTAGAAGCATCCAATAAGGAGAGAGAAAATTTCAAATTTATTTAAAATTTAATTTCTTTTTTAATTGGAAACATGGGTGGTTGTGATAATGAAGGAAAGAGAAAATTTTGTTTTTATTTCTTACTTAATAAAAAAGTTGTGATTGGCTGTTTGTAAAACTACTTTTTATGTTTGTGTCTATCTAAGAATTTTCCCTATTAACTTTCAAGCAATAAAATCAAAAGCAAGGGAGACAAAAGTGGCACCTCATTATGAAGTTTCTTTAATATAAAAGGCTTTGGAAAGAGCATCCATGGAACTGCAATTAGAGCCAGAAGCAATAACAAAACCTGCACATTATGAATAGTAATTTCGAAAGATGAAAAACACTAAATATATCAACAATTATTAACTAACAATGAAGAAAGGAATCAGAACCATACTTGAAGTGGCCTTTGACCCCTGAACAACTCATTCTCACCAAGATTGTCAAGGGGGCTTAAAAACATGTAAATCATTATATGATAAAGGTCTGCCTGAGAGCCAGAACACCACTTGACAACAATGAGAAGGGAAAGATACCCAAATAGACTATTGAGGAAAATCATCTGCGGCACAAACTGATACCTAAAGCAACATGCAGAGCAAGTTAAACCATTATACTCAAATGATAGCTAGGAAAATAATAGGTATAGTGAACTGAAATAATCAGGAAGTTAGAAAAGTAGGACACCTTATATCCAGCGAACTGCCAAAGAAACGAGCATTGAAATAACTTAACATAATTCCTAAGTTCATATGCACAACACCAAAAAGAATGGACATCTTCATCTTGAGAGAGTTCAAAAAGGGTAATTCAGAACGACTTCCACGCCAGCTGGGATCTACACCAAATGGGTATGGTTCTCTGTATTTTACTAAGCCAGTAGTATGTGCATCCCTAATAAGAGGTGGAGAATGATGGAAAATGAAACAGCACCAAGTTAAAGCCTGGCTACAACCATCATTTTATTTTATAAATGTTCTGACAATATAAATACCCAAATTAGCAAAATTTTGAAGTATAAGACAAACATAAAAAGAAAGACTACAACTGCGCCAGAGAGGCCAATCAAACAAGTCCTATATATATTATATTTGAAGGTATAATAGTTTAAAAGAAACATGAATCAATCAAAATAAACAGCACTTTGGTTTTTAAAAGTGACAGTCATATCATACAGGTGTTTCTCTTATAACTCAAAATCAAATACACTTGATAGTGTGGAACCAAAAGTTCTTCTCATTATGGGTGACAACTTAAGTGACAAAATATTTAAACAACATTCAATTTTAGCAAAAATTAAACTTGGTAATCAAGGAGTCATTAATCATTAACATCACTTGAATAGTTGAATCCATCACCTCTTACCAAAAACCTATCCATCCCAGCACCAATCATATTAAATTTCAGTCAGAAGTGTTTTCTTCGTATACCTCCACTTCTAGTAATTATTACATTATTATTGCTGATGGTTCCCGTACCGTTGTTGGTTCAGGAAATATAAACTCCAACCTTAGTATAAATTGCAGTATGTTATTCATGTTTTCACTCTCTCTCATAACTTAATTTCTAGTCTTAAGCTTACTCAAGAACAAAACTGTATTGTAAATTTTATTTACTCTTTTGATTTCTTCAGGAACTTGCAATGGGACACGGTTTGTTTCTAGTGGTACATGGTTTGCTTCTTTGTTGATGATTGTTCTGAGAGTAATTTGGATATTTTTGATGAAGGATAAATCAAAAGTACTTTGATTGTTCATTCAATTTTACAATATCTAGTTTCTCGATCATCTTTGAATCATAACTAGTAATGAGAAGTCTAAACTCATTCACATCTAATTGAGCTTGATTAGCATTAGACATGTTGTTCTCCATCATATGAAGGTTGAGAAAATTATGAATAACAACATAAAGACATTTAATTTCATTAGAATAGACATTATTAGCCTTTTGCCAATTATCATAACATGTTGTATGCAAGAGATAATGGACAACAGAGTAGCATAAGACATGAGAGCAGTTGACAGGCAACTCTTGAGCAATGTCTACTGACTACTTAGTAGATCATTGAGAGCTTTTGTCCAAGATAGCACATGTTTACCATAGCCGACCAATTTAAATAATTCTCACCATTGATTTTTTTGGATGTTATAACTGGATGGCCTGAGAAAACAAAGGAAACCAGGCTCTTACCAGAAGAACCAAATTTTGTGTTGTCTTTTTTGATGAGTCTGGATCAAAACTTATCTTTGAAGACAATAGAAGAACAGTAGCAAAGAGATATATGCAAAATAGTCACGAAAAAAATACCCAAAACACTTGGGTAGTGCCAAAATACAAAGAAAACACCCGAGAGAAAACGGCCCACTCCCGAACTACGGCGCAACAGGAAGAACATCAAGAGGCGAGAAGAAAGGTAACGCCGCCAACCTCGTCAAGGTCTGGATGGTGGCATATGCCCTTCATGCGTCGACGGGACAGAAATGACAGAACAAACGCATGGAGGTGCGTGCGGTGGCGAGACTCAAGAGACAGCCCGATCTCATGATGAGTCCAATGATGAGGTTATCTTGACACTTTGGGCTGTGTTTATTGGACTGTTAAGGGGATAGCAATGAGGGCCTATGACGACTAGGGTTTTTATGACTTTTAACAGGCCCACAAATTGTATGCTCTAATACCAACTTGCTTCCTAAATTGAGGCATTTGGATTGCTCTTCATTGGAGCCTGCAACACCACAGAATGAAGGTGGAATCTCCAACACACATCCTCAGGCTCAGGCCTCAATGAGCCTAAAGCGTGGACGATGCAAGAAGCCCAACAATAGAAATAGGCTCTAATACCATCTTATAATTTGAGTTGGACTTAACTCAACCCTACAAAACTGGTTACTAACACACTCTCATGACCATCATTGTTGTGCCTGATGCGTGAATATAAATGGTGGGTGGCTGATAGCATAAACCTAATAGCAGATGGCCTAACAGATCTTAAATGAGGCTTTGATCTCATCTTAGAATTTGGATTGGCCTAACTCAATCCTACAAAACCAACTTGTAAGGTGAGAATTGTCCCCACTTATAAACATATGTTCAGGTTATATATTGTCCAATATGGGACTCTTACCAACTATAAATAATATTTGTAGTTACTTTTATATTATAGCTTGTGGCCAGCTAAGCAAAACTCATTAAGTCTAGAATTTACTCTATTTGAACAGACTAGCTATTATATTGTATTATGTTGAAATATGAGAATTATTTTCAACACAGTTTCAAGGAACGCCTACTATTAGAGAATAGACTAGAATAGTCTAGAATGCCACATCAGCATAACTAACTTACAGTTAGTTATGTTGTGGTGTAGGTTAAGCTAGCTAGTGCACAGATTTAGAATGAAACCTTGTATCACTGTAAACTGTTCAAGCATAATAACAGAATTCAGTTTCAGTCAGATCTTTCTCTCTCTTCTCTCTCTCTTCTTCTTTCATTCTTTCACTCTAATATGGTATCATAGAGCTTCAGTTCTAATCCATGGCTTCTTCTTCCTCTTCTCCGGTGTCAACCTCGACAATTACTCAGGCAACCGTAGCTCCGACGGCATCAATGTCGTTTCAGCTCAAAATCACTGAAAAGCTTGATGAAAAGAATTTTTTACTGTGGCGTCAGCAAGTTGATTCGTTCGTCAATGCGAACAACCTGCAGAATTACCTCTATCTTTGTGATATACCTGCGCAATTTCTCACAAAAGAAGATCGCGCTGCTAATCGTTAGAATCCTTCCTATCGCGCTTGAATTACGTAAGATCAGTGGCTGTTGACGTGGCATCAATCCACGTTATCATCTTCGATTCTTTCTCGCGTTCTTGGATGCATTCATTCGTATGAACTTTGGGAACGAATTCTTGCACATTTTCAAAAATTGACACGTGCGAAAGCGAGGCAGTTGAGAGCTAAACTCAGATCTACAATGTTAGAAGACAAATCTGTTGAAGAGTATCTAGTTCTTATCAAAGCCCTAGTTGATGCACTCGCCTCAGTTGGAGATCCAATTCCTGATCAATAACACATTGATTTTATACTTGAAGGTCTTCCACCAGATTTTGCTTCTGTTGTTTTTGTAATTGAGAGTAAATTTGAGTCAAATAAACATGAAATGAGGTCCAACAAGCATAAGAAACACGTATAAATAGAGGTAGCTGCTTCAGTGAATCTCACTCAAGCTAATTCTCAAACTAAAACAAAGATATCAAATGCTAAGACTACTGAACAAGGAGCTAATTCCACCTTTTCATCTAGAGGAGGTCGTTCTGGTAGCCGTGGTGGTTGACGCAGCCGTGGCAAAGGCAGGTTCAGTAACATTCAGTGTCAGGTTTGCTTCAAGTTTGGACATCTGGTTGTTCAATGTTGTCAAGAGTCCATCTGATTGTTCAATGTTGTTAAGAGTCTCACATCGGACAATATATGGCATGAACATGCGTTTATAAGTGTAAGGTTGAGTTAGGCCCAACCACCTTCTATTAGGTTTCCATTATCGGTCCACCCACCATTTATTTCCACGCTCCACTTGTCCAGTCCTGAGCGTGAGTGGGTGTGTTAAGAGTCTCACATCGGACAATATATGACATGAACATGTGTTTATAAGTGAGAGTAATCCTCACCTTACCAACCGGTTTTGTAGGGTTGAGTTAGGTCCAACCACATTTTCTTAACAAATGTTATCACAAGTTCAATCAGCAGTTTCAACCTACTATTCCTGCAGATTTTCAAACTATGAATCTGGAAAACTTCTACAATCCTTACCAACCTATTGGTGGACCGCAATTTGCACAGCCAATACCTAACACTTGGACTCGTCCAAATTATCAAACTCGGCCTGCTCTATTGCCCACTCCACAACCACAAGTTGTTCCTAATGCTATGCTTACCAACACTGGTGCAGCTTCAAGCAGTGCTTGGTTCCCAGACTCAAGAGCTTCTTTCCATGTCATCGATGCTTCTCAAAACATACAACAACCCACACCATTTGAAGGTCCTGATCAGATCTTCATTAGTAATGGTCAAGGTTTGCGTATTCACTCCTCAGGGTCATCCTATTTTCCATCTCAATTTAACCCTAAAACCTCTTTAGCTCTTCATAATTTACTGCATGTTCCTTCCATCACAAAGAATCTCATAAGTGTTAGTAAGTTGTGTCTTGATAATTGTGTATTTTGAGTTTCATTCTAATATCTATTATGTCAAATCCCAGGCCTCCAATGAATTTCTGCTCCAAGGTCGTGTAGGCAGAGATGGCCTATATGAATTTCCTCATCTTCAGCTTATTCAGCCGCCCAAAACAAGTCAAGTCTCATGTTTGGCCTTAGTCTCGAGTGATCCTTCTTTCATCTCAAACTTTAGTACTACTCCTAGGATTTCTAATTCCAATCAAAATATATCTGAAAATAACTCATGTAATTCACTCATGTAATTCTCATTTTACCTAGCACTTACGCCTTGGTCATCCCAATCCCCATACTATGAAACTTGTTCTAGCACAATGTAATATTCCATATTCTAATAAAGTTAATTCCCTGTTTTGTAGCCTACTGTATGGGCAAAGCTCATAGACTGCATTCCCCTCAGTCACAAACTCAATATGTCTCACCACTTGAACTAATTTTCAATGATCTTTGGGGTCCAGCTCCAGTCAAATCCTCACAAAATTTTCACTACTATATCACATTTGTTGATGCATACAAAAGATTTACCTGAACTTATATGCTTTAAACTAAATTTGAGGCATTAAACATTTTTAAACAATTCAAGGCCATGGCTGAACTGCAGTTTGGCTATCCTATCAAAGTTGTTCAAACAGACTGGGGTGGTGAATTTCCCCCATTTACAAAATTTCTTTCTGATCTTGGAATCATTCATCGTCTCATTTGTCCTCATACTCATCATCAAAATGGTGTGGGAGAGAGAAAGCATAGGCATATAGTTGATCTAGGCCTTACTCTTCTTAGCCATGCCTCTCTTCCTCTCAAATTTTGGGACCATGCTTTCTTAACTGCTGTCTATCTCATCAATCGTCTATCAATAGTGTCTCTTAATAATAAAATTCCTTATTTTGTCCTGTTCAATCAGAATACTGATTATGGATTTCTTAGAGTCTTTGGTTGTGCATGCTTTCCTTTCTTCGTCCCTACAATCATCACAAATTTGATTTTAGATCACATAAGTGTCTTTTTTTAGGGTACTCTACAGCTCACAAAGGTTATAAGTGTCTCTCCCCAAGTGGCAGAATCTTCATTTCCAAAGGCCTTTAGCATCAAGTTCATGGTAAGTGGGTCTTTCGCTCTCACTCATAACTGGCCTTTGGAGCAGTTGGATGTTAATAATGCTTTTCTGAATGGCCTACTTGAAGAGGAAGTTTATATGGTGCAGCCTCCTGGTTTCAGATCTTCGGATTCTTCCTTGGTCTGTCGTTTACATAAGGCCTTGTATGGCCTCAAACAGACCCCAAGACAATGGTTTGAGAGACTTAAAACCACACTTTTGGCTTTTGGTTTTGTCAACAGTAAGTGTGATACTTCTCTGTTTATCTACAAACATCACAGTGCCACTGTCTATATACTGGTGTATGTTGATGATATCATCATCACAGGCAGCTCAGTTGCTCTCATTAAACAAATCACCCTCAAGCTCAATCAAGTTTTTGCTCTTATACAACTTGGGGGCTTGGACTATTTTCTTGGTCTTGAGGTAAAAAAGTTGTCCAATGGCAACTTGCTGCTTACTCAATCCAAATATCTGAGGGACCTTCTTGTCAAAACTGACATGTCTAAATCCAATTATGTAGCTACCCCTATGGCTTCCACCACCAAAACAGCCTCCTGGTTTCACATCTTCTGATTCTTCCTTGGTCTGTCGTTTACATAAGGCCTTGTATGGCCTCAAACAGGCCCCAAGACAATGGCTTGAGAGACTTAAAACCACACTTTTGGCTTTTGGTTTTGTTAAAAGTAAGTGTGATACTTCTCTGTTTATCTACAAACATCACAATGCCACTGTCTATAGACTGGTGTATGTTGATGATATCATCATCACAGGCAGCTCAATTGCTCTCATTAAACAAATCACCCTCAAGCTCAATCAGGTTTTTGCTCTTTTACAGCTTGGGGGCTTGGACTATTTTCTTGGTCTTGAGGTAAAGAAGTTGTCCAATGGCAACTTGCTGCTTACTCAACTCAATCCAAATATCTGAGGGACCTTCTTGTCAAAACTGACATGTCTAAATCCAATTATGTAGCTACCCCTATGGCTTCCACTACCAAACTTACCAAAACTGGTTATGCTGGGTTCTCTGATCCTTCTCTTTACAGGTCTATTGTGGGGGCTTTGCAGTATGCTACTATCACACGTCCTGAGATTTGTTATGCAGTCAATAAAGTGTGCCAGTTTATGGCACATCCTTTGGAATCTCACTAGCTGGCTGTCAAACGCATCCTGTGTTATCTGAAGGGTACTCTCACCTTTGGGCTACTGTTCAACCCTACCTTGCCTGCGCAGCCTTTCTCTCTTCAAGCATTTTGTGATGAAGATTGGGCTGCTGACCTTGATGATAAAAAGTCCACTTTTGGGTCAGCTGTATTCTTGGGGCCTAATCTAATTTCCTGGTGGTCAAAGAAATAGACTGTTGTGGCTCGCTCTAGTGCATAAGTTGAATGTCGAAGCTTGGCTCAAACAACTGCTGAGGTTCTGTGGGTCCAAACTCTGCTTGCAGAACTGAATGTTCCTTTCACCGCTCCTACTATTTTCTGTGACAATCAAAGTACTGTTGCTATGGCACATAATCTAGTTCTCCATGCTCGAACCAAGCACATGGAAATAGATCTATTCTTCTTTGAGTTATGGTTTTTGCTTGCGCCAATGTCTCTCAGATTATCTTACTAAGAAGACTTCAGATATTGATGCTAAGTTGAAAGATGATTGAGAATTGGCTGATAATCAACTTGAATCTATGTTGTTGAATTCTGCTGAGCCTAGGTTGATGGCACATTTTTGTCCATATGGGACATTTTATGAGGTTTGGCATAAGGCTAAAAATATTTATGCTAATGATATTCAAAGATTATACGAGTCTTTCTGCCGTTTGGCTGCTCTTCAGATGACTGATCAAGATTTAGTTTAATATTTGCTCAAGTTTAGTCTAATGTCTTCAAACTTATGCTAGTTAATGATGACATTAAATAGGTACAATATTAACTTCACAACATGTTCATGGTGTTTATTTTTCATGGTCTCCTTAAAAGAGTATGGTTCTGTTAAATATCAGACTTTGATTAAATACCACCATCCTTATATGGGAGAGCTTACTAATTGTCTCATCCAAGTTTCTTTACTAGGCACGATACCAAAATAGCCCCTGAATTCTCTGCTCTTATTTCCAATTAAAGTGACCGTAGTCGCAGTTGTAGCCTTGGACGTAGTCGCAGTTGTAGCCTTGGACGTAGTCGTGGTTGTAGCCTTGGGAGTAGCCATGAACGTGGTAGAGGGGTAGAGGTAACATTCATTGTACTTATTGTAGGAGATATTGAATAGAATAAAAATAGTAACATTAAAATACCAAGTAATGCATTGCGAAGCTAGATAATGGAACAAAAAAATCCAATTGGCACAAAAACTATAAGCTGTAAAGAGACAAATAGAAGACACCTGCATGAAATATCTTGGCATTTGTAAGCAGACGCACCAAATATGTGAAAAGGAACCGAGAAGAACTCATTGTAGATTAACCCACAATACATTGAAAACAGTGACATCAGAAGAAGCACATAGCGCCCACCATATAGCATCTCCATAAAGCTTCCCAGTCGCTGGAAGAAATCAAAGAGTTTTTTTAGGTGCTTAACTTGCCAAGAGCCAAACATAGATAAGTAATATTGGGTACATAGTTGCACTTCTCTAGATATTATATTTAAATTTCAAGATATTAAAGGAAAAATCATTAGAATAAATGGCTTAAAAGTTGTCACTTAATTACTTTTGGTCCTTATCATGGAAAATATGGGAAAATGAAAAAACTGGATGCTCAAACTTTGAATATCATTACAAATTAAGGAGATCCTATTAAACACGAGATGGAAAAAGATGCATGTTCAAGTTTGATATATAAATTAAGCTTTTATCTAAGAAGATTGTTGAGATATTGAAATTATGTTTTGTATCTGTTATGATATTATGCGATTGTCTTAATTGTATTTATATATCTTCCCTTTCTTAGTGAATTCACTTCATGTCTTTATAAAGTACATTCTCTTCGCATAAGGTACAAGATATTCAGTCTCAAGTAAGATCAACAAAAATAAATGTCACGTATGAGGCTTATTATGAACTTTTTGCATAATCCTTCCATTGCTACTTTATTCATGTCACACTCAGAATGACAATACCTGATTGCCGAGTTTGCTTTCATGTGCTATAAGAACCAATGCTCCAAGCAGCAGGCATATTCCATGGCCCCAGTCCCCAAACATCACCGCAAAAAGAAATGGGAATATAATAGTTGTGTAAACTGCAGGGTTTGCTTCTTGATATCTTGCAACACTGCCAAATAAAATGGCTCATCAGGAGTCTTTTCAAATTTTCACAGCATGGAGCCATGTATTTCTAACTTTGTGAAAGGTAGCTTATTTCAACACATTAACTTATTTGTATAACTGCTAATAAACGAAGTAAGTATTTGCTCACCCATATGCATCTACAATTTCTTGATAAGGATTGGTGAAACTGTTGGTCCTAAAATATGTAGGTGGCGATTCCAGTGCATCCATTGAATGAAAGATTACACCCACTTGAGAATTGCTGTCAAAAGTTGCACGTTGCAGTGCCTCTTGAATCTGGAAAATCAAAAGATCCAAGCCTTTTAATAGAAATATAAACAAAACAAAAAAAACAAAGGTCTTTACAACTCCTCAAAATTTAAAGAACAAGAATTACTGAGGACCCAACAAATTTGAGGGAAAAAAACCTGTGTTCTTGCAAATATTGGACACCAGCCCTCTGCAACAAGACATTTTTTGGTGACATCAAAATTTAACATGTTCAGCGTATCATACACAGCCTTCTCTCTTCTTACCTAGGACAAGATGACAAGGATGAGAGCTATTGGTTCATAAATTAAACAACGATAAAATAGTAGGATGTCTTCGAAGCTACAACATAAAGAACAATAAAGCCTTAGACAAGAAGTCATTCAGAAGCTAACTCTTACCATGTCCATCCATTTTTCTAAATGACCTCCTACAGAAGATAGAGCCTTATTCCGATGCCTAATTCCAGCATCCAAAGTGGCCTCTAAGTCAGCAAGGCGTGATGAAACCTGTACCCATAAACTATATTTTTTCAATTATAAATTATACAGTTTCTGTTGGAATATTTCGGAAATTTCTCACAATATCGATATTGTATCTTTGACTATCTTAGAGTACCATTTACATCTCTCAATACTGGCTTTGATATTTCATTTTGTATTGTGATTTATTTTATCTTTTAATTAGGATTGATATGTGTTGGGGGTAAATGCTGTCTATGGTAACACATCCAATCAATATCAATAATTATATAATTTTCTCTTTTTCTTTTTCCCCAACGCAATCCTTATAATTTCTACAGTTTCCTACTTTCTTTTTTGTATTTACAAATGGTGACATGCAATGATATAAAACAATATCCAGAACTTCAAGGTCTACTCATTCTACTATTTTTTCTCTCCTGAGTTGTTTAAACTACTGAATGATATTGTGGAAAAAGATCTCACCCAAAAAATGATAGTGCAAACTGAAATCTTAAAGAGCATATAAAGAAGCCTCTTGGATTGCAAGACAAGTTATCTGAATATTAATTTATGATAAAGGTTGAAATTAAGATGTTGTAGTCCCTAGTAGTATGCAATTTAAAATGACAGAGCATATTATTTAACTGAAACTATAGACGCATAAAGCCCTGTATTATCTAGAGACTGGAGCAAACTTGGTCCTAGACCCTTTGCTTCAATACAATACAATATCTAAGAAATTGGATTGGGCCTAATTTAATTTTAAAAACCAGCTTGTAAAGTGAGGAATGTCTCTCACTTATAAACACTTTTCGGGTCATATCTCATTAAATGTGGGACTCTCGACACACTTCTCACGCCTAGGAATGAAGATTTGAAGTGTGACATGAGTTCAACAACGGGATGACCCAGCGGATCTTGGATAGAATCTAATACCACATAGAAAGATATTTTTGAATAATATATTTATTGTGAAAAGAGTACATATACTAACACGCTTATATAGACTACACTATAGCTAATGAGCCTAATTAATGGGCCGAATACAAGGATTATACATAATTACAAAATATACGCCTAATAACCACAGATACAACTTACAACAGTATATATAATTGAAGAGAACAACAGATGACATGTTTTTGAGCTATGAATCCTTATCTTACCTCCTGAGTTATTTGCCTTTGCTTACTTATATCTTCAGGAACAGGGTAACAATTTGCACCAAATGCTTCACAAATTTTTAGAATCTTTGTTCTTGCTTGCTCCCCAGAGAAAAACACAACAAACACTGTCTTCTCAACCTGAAAAGAAGTTCAGAACAGAGAATAAATTGGTAAATAAACCAAAACAAACAAAATACAGATTAAAACTAAAGCCAAATTATTGTTTTCTAAATTGAGAAGAAAGAAAACCATCTCAGTTGAAATAGGATCCATAATTTGTTCATCAGCTGGTGCCTTATTGAAAAGCATATTGCCTCTTGTGGCACGAAACAACATTCTTTCAAACCTCAGAACTTTGGATTTACAAATTATCCCGCTGATAAATCTTAAACCAGATTGGTTTGATTTTGACGGATCAGGCATCATTTCCTGTACAAAAAATTATATAACAATGAACTTCACGAGGATAAAATAAAATTGAAAAACTGAACAGAATTTACACTTTTCACTGTAAAAAAATGTAATGGCAATAAGGGATGTGCTACAAGGAACCTGTTCAAACAAAAATGGTGTCTCGATAATGTCTTCATTTAAGTAAACATTTTCCTCCAGTTCTCTCTCTTCTGAAACGGCATGGCCATGATTTGAAACAAGAAAACTACATGCCTAAAATTTACCCATATAATGTTATCATATGTATATCAGAGAGTGTATATAGGATGTATAATATTAACACTGAAAACGATTGTATTAATTATGAACAAATCATCATTTGATGGAGTAGATGCATACCCATACAATGCTATGATATGCATATCAGAGAGTGTATATAGGATGTATAATATATGAACACTGAAAAGGATTGCATTAGTTATGAATAAATCATCATTTGATGAAGTAGATTGAAAGCGGAATTATTCATGCAATGTTATCATATGTATATCAGAGACAGTATATAGGATCTATAATATATTAACACTGAGAAGGATTGCATTAATTATGAATAAATCATCATTTGATGGAGTACATTAAAAATAGAACTGCTGTAGAGCAACAGATGAACTACAAACCCCAATAAATAAGATTAAGTTATAATTAGAAAGATCACTATTACCTAACTGTATTCAAACAGGAAAATCTATTGTAACCAAAATAACCGAGACCATATGGAAAACCCTAGTACTTTGAAAGTAACAAGAGAGTATGCTCAGCACAAATAGCCATGGAAAATATAATACCTTTTGCAGTACACTCTTGAACTCAAGGAGCTCGTTATATGATTGCTGAAGTTTCTCACTGTTAGAGTTCATTTCAATTATCTCATGTTCATGCTCAGCAAGATGCACCTGGTTTAAGAGAATCCGCAGAAATTAACATATCAGATTTAAGACAAAAAAAATCCCCACATAAACTAGTGAAACGGCAGATAACCAGTGTATTGCAGGCAACATGACAACATTTATTTTGAGCAAAAGCTCTAGGACAATGATCAGATATATAGAGAAAAGAGAAGTAGAATAGAGAAGGACCTCTATATCCTCCAAGTATGTATCTGATTGCAAGACAGAACTGGGAGACATTATACCAGCTTTATTGATCTGATCCATCAGGAATCGTAGCTTTCTTGACATTTCTGCACATCGCTTTACCTGTCATAAAACAAAATGAAGTTCCGATAGGTAAGCCCAAGCCTATTACATGTCATATGTTTATTTTTGGGTCTGAGCCAGACCTTTTTGAAAGTCTGCTATGTCTATAAGTTTACTTAAAGGCCTATTTCATATTATTTTCAGCAAATAAGTAATATGACTCATATTTAAATAGACTAATGAGCCAATAGGTCAATGAGATTAAGTTAGATTTTGATATTTAATATATTATTTAGAGAGTATGATTTTATGACAACCTATTACAATTACATTTTATATTTTATAATAATACATTTAAGTATGTCAAAATCTAATGTAAGCTAATATGTTTAAATTAATGAAAATGTTTTCCATGAAAAAAGAAGATTAAAATGTTCAACATCAAGTACAAAATCTAATATAACAAGTCATAAAAATAAATTATTTATATTTACTTAAGTAGCTCGGCCTAGTAGGCCTGAAAGGCTTTCTTTGTGGCCTAAAGCCTAACAATTTTAGCTAAATAGGCCTTTTGAAAAGCCTCAGAGCCTTGTCTATTTTTAAAAATAAAAATAAAAATCCCGGCTTATGCTTGAAGTATGCTCGGACGTATAATCTTGTCGGTCAGCCTGGCCTACTTCCTCCTGTAAGTCCAATGATGACTTTTGGCTTATTGATATTATAAATGCTTGTCCAAATATTTCTAATGAAGATCAGTTTCAGCAAATCTCTTCTTCCTTGGTCATGCAACACTCTATTCAACTCTTTAGGCGAAGCGCAACATTTTGTCATCACCAACATCCATGAGTTGCTGCCTTTTTCAAACTGAAATTGGAGAAGTTTTAAGTCTTACTACTAATAATTGGTTGTTAGGAAATTTTCTTTGATGATCATTCCAAAAAAATCTCTTCTTCCTTGGCAATTCAACATTCCAACCAACGTTTTTGGCTATGTGATCATTCTATCCATCTTGCTACCTTTCTCGTCAATGTGTTTGTGTAGTTACTTTTCATTTTTAAAGGATTCATTCTTAAGAATAGTTCTCATATTTAATTATATTTTATGATTAATTTAATACTCTCATTAGGAATTTAAGTATTAGTATGAAGGTTGGTGCCTTTTTTGTCACATCAGTATGCAGAGAATTACTTGTTTCGGGCACTATTATAAGAAAAAATATTCACTTTTCATGTTCATTGAATAACCGATTTATCTCAACTATATACGAGATACATCAGTTATTCAATGAACATGAAAAAGTGAATTTTTGCTTATAATAGTGACCAAAAGGAGAATTATTGACAGTCTCTTTTATCTCTTTTAACCACTTCTTCTACCTAAGTTCTCTTTTAATGATAAACGTTGGTATGGTCAGTATTATATTGGGGTGGGATTGACCTCTCTCCCTCCTTATCAGAATCACCACTTAACTCTTTAGCCCACCCCAACCACCAAGACAACTTTATATGTCAACTATATATCTCCTCTTCTATATAAGTTATTGTCATTTCCAATATATTATTCTCCGAATTCAGCAGGCATTAATTCTAGAAAGAGAGCAAAAACGTCAAACAAACTATTTCCAACAGTTTGAACCTATTTCTTCTACCTTTTGATATAAGGTCTAGAGATTGGGCGACTATAATCTGATTCACATGAAACAAACTACATTATTCATTATATATATTTTCATTATTTTAGAACTAGTAAGCTTAGTACGGTGTTGTAAAAAAAGGGCATTCAAAAATAAACAGGAATTCTAATAATTAGTGCGGTACACATTACCTGGTTAACAAATGTTCTCTGGAAGGGACTTTTTTCAGCATTTAACTACAGAGGAGAAAATACAGTCATAAGAAATGCAGTAATTAAAGATCATAGAAGAATTCTACACCTCCAACATCCAAACCATAGATTTTACAACAACAAAACTTTTCTCTTGCTAGGTAGTAAACCACAAATAACTACTTTGTGTTGCACACATGGCTGTAAAGAAGATTAAAACAAGTTTTGAACATTTCCTAATACACATGGTAGCATATTGCCACCCAAAATATCATTTGTAACAGGAGACAACTGTATACGAATATATGCTATTGAAAAAAAAGAATATTGTTGAAAATCAAAATAACATCCCCACATTTAGTGTCTCCCGGTGAAATGACTGAGTAAATAGACCAAGACCAGAAAACATCGAAGTTTTTGCATAGCCAGCATATCCTGAAATATTGAGATCCATCCAAGATTCTAGGCTTAAAAGAGCTACAAATATCAAGATGTACAGCACTTGCCCTATGTTGTGTAGATGGTTCTCCACAAACTTTTACTTGTATGGTCACATAGAAGCTCTTAATTACAAATAGAATGTGTCATTATCAATAGCAGCAGCATACACATTGACACACAATCAAAACCAAACCAGGATTCAGAATAATCAAGTTTCTAAAATCATCCTTTTGAACAGAGAGGTTCAGTGTGAGAGTTGGAATTCAAACTCCAAACTGAAGCCCTCAATCAGTTAAACGAGGAACGCAATTGTATGTTGTAAACCATCTTCAAAGAGGATGCGAAATCGCAAGACATGAGAAAATAATCTAAAATAACTTAGTAGGGTCTGTTTGGTGTGAAAAAACATTTTGTATTTCATAAACCATCTTCAATCACTTTCATTTTTTCAAATTATTAGCCATGCATCCGAAATGCTGTGTCCCATGCATGTGCTTAGTTGAAATAGTAAACTTTTTTTCCCAGTGTATCTTTGAAAATAGGAAACAAATGTGCTATTTTAATTAAAGCAACAACAGAAAACCATTTTCTAAAACCGTACATTTAGCATGCAATACAAAACTTAAGCAACTCATTCATGCAATCAAACAGTTCGCTCATCAACAAACTCTCAAACCATTTATTTGGATTAAATACAAAGTGTTTCCAGTTTCTTCGATTCAGAGACTTTGCATGATAAATCAACAACATAACAAACCAGAGAACGACCTAAACGAACAAAATCCACTCCTCCCCTGCACCAGATTCCAAAATTCAACACATGAATTCAACAACGCTGCATTTTAATCATTCATCAAGGAAACACCAGCATGCATGTTACGCATTCAAATCAAGATACAGCGAAGTAAAAAGGAAAAGGCGCGAAAATCGAAATGCATAATAGGGATCTGAGAGAGAGAGAAGTTACGTCACGGAATTGAAGAAGACCGAGTTGGCCTAAATAGGTGATGGCTCGGTGAGCGGACTCGGCGGGAATGATGAGTTGAACGAAGGTCATCTTCTCCGAACGCATCAGATCCATTGACGGTAATTTATATGTGAAAATTTTCATTTTACCGGGAATGGATCTTCTGCAATAGATCTGAAATCTGAAAAATAAACCGTTTTGTTGTGGTTAGTTTCGGAGGTCTTCGACTTGGGCAGTTCGCGTCGGTTTCCTCCTCTTCGCAACTGTCATTACAATGGAACTGGAAAACTAACTTTAACTCATGTTTCTTCCTAATTAATTCAAGATTTCATTAGTAAAAGAATAATAATTATCTTGACAAAAAAAGTTAATACTATAGTTATAATGATTTAAATAATAAATAAATAAAATTGACTCAAATAACATTTGTCAATGATTATTTTAGTCTAATTCAAATTGGAATACTCTTTATTGATTGGATTTTTATTGAAATTTATTAACTTTGATTTAAAAGTATTTTATAAGTCTAATATGATATTTTTCACTCAAATATATTATTTTTAGTTTATATAAAAACAATTTTATTGCCTTGTTAAGTCAGTTCAAATGATAGATAATAGTTGCGGAGAAATATCAAATGAAAGAGTGCGATTTTGAATATGCTGACATTTTAATATTTTATTTTTAAAGAGTAAAATGCAGTCATTTAATATATATATATATATATATATATATATATATATATATATATATATATATATATATATATATATATATATATATATATATATATATATATATATATATATATATATATAATCTGATCAGAAGGGGATCAATGATTTGTCACGCGTCGTTGATCTGCTGCCTGTTCGCCGATGGTAAGAAGGAGGAAGGGGGTGTACCTGCAAGACACTCAGATGCCAAAATGAGAGAATGGACCAGAGTGAGAGCAAATACAGAAAGTAGGTTTAAAATTGAATCTCTGACCCTCTAGTGAAAGAGGGTATTTATAGAGAGACCCCAGCGCAGGGCCAACGGTCATTTGAGTTGGGCTGGATGGTCAGGCCCAACCCAAATGACTGTTAGGACTTACGTGGCGTAGTGAAGACCAGCACGTGGTATTCGCCCTAGTCCAACCGTCCCATGATCTTCGGAAGGTGGGTTGACCAACTCTTTCGGAGGTGGGTAGTTGCATGATGACGTGTCCCCGCAGAGGGGGCATGTAACACCCTGAATTTTAATTGGAATATTTTGATTAATTTATTTAATTAAGAATGTTCAATTTTGGTGATTTGCGGTTAATTTGTGGAGTATTAGAAAATGTGCATTTTTGGATATTTATTTGATTAATAACATATAATATTAATTTATTAGTATTATTATTAATTAAAATGAATATAAGTGAAATAAGGGTAATTTGGGCATTTGAAGGAGTTAGTAAGGGTAATGAGGAAAAAACCTAATTTGTGAGGCCCAAGACTAGGTTTGACAAAATTGAGTTCTGAAGGGAAATTGGAATTCATTTTGTGTTAACCGTGAAAGTTTGGTGGCCAGAACTCTGAAGAAAAGGTTGGAGGCAGAAGATCCCAAAGATTAATCGTGAAAGCTGTGAATCGACTAAGGTATGGGGAGTATGGCTTTTCATGATTTTCTATGTATGCCTTTAGATGTGTTTATGGTTGGTTTAGGATTTAAGGTATTTGGGTTAATTGTGAGAAAACTAGGGAAATTGATTATAAGACTCTGAGATTATGGCTGGTGGTATGTATCACTGATTATTGATATGAGAAGGAAACCTTAGGCCTTGTGGCCAAAACCTTAGATGGTTATGGAGGATGGAAAACTTCACTGATACTGACTTCTCATGTACAGAGATGGTGTGGAGGATGGAAAATTTCGGCGGCGACATGCTGTTATCTTTCTTCATTCTTCACAGCTTGGTGCACTGGTTTGCTGTTGTTTGTGTTGCGTATCGCATTCTATTCGTTTTGCAAGTAGTGGCATTTGGGAAATTGGAATAACATGTGACTGCATACGGTTTTGGTGCGTTGCGTTGCGGATAGGCTATTGTTGAAGGCGTGTAGCAGCTTCGTATATAAGCCGATGCGGATGCCGTCAACGGACTCTCTTCGAGTCAACCTCGGAAGCCAACCTTACTATGACAGAACTTGTGACAGTATTATGTAATCACTTTGTAAAACTGTTGTGTACTTTTAAATTCTGAAGTTTTGGATGCGATATCTTGAATATTATTCATGAATATCATCGTTGCTTCATGTGCCCAACATCGTTTTAGGATTTGTGACTTCATAACAGAACATGTATATGTATGTCTTGTAATAGGCGCAATAAGACAACCTTTTTTTGGAAATTCTTTTCCCACTTGTCATACATATTTATGCGAAGTACATCAGTAATGCTCTTTTGTCACATGAGGTATACCTTGAATAATAATGGAAAAAAATGCACAACGATCCTTGTATGGTTTGAGTGAATTCCAAACATGATTAGTATGGCTTGTATGAACCCCACATATGACCTCAAATCAACTAGCTTTACAACTTGAAAAAAACATGGTTTAAGTTTTTTTTAAATAACTTAACCAATTAAATCATGGATTTGAAACAACTTAAAGATTCACTTGTGATCTCCCATCGTCACCTGTAGCACACTCCTCTTTCTATCATCCCTTAACCAAAATTTATCAATCCACAATCCTTTCAATTCAATAATCCTCTATTAAAACTCACCACTAATTCAAACTTGGATCAAAACAAATAGAATTTAAAAGTGTAGCCAACATAGTCACCTCTTGGACAAATTTGCAACAAACATAATTGGACTTTGATCATTCACATAATTCTAAACTATGTTCCCCTTTTAGAAGAAAAGGTTGATCCTGAGAATGAGGGCTCATCCTCTTTTTTAAATTTCACAGGAATTCAACCCAATGAACTATAAACATTATGAGCATAAACCATATTTTTATGGTCAAAATCCTTGAAGACTGTGGCCAGAGGCCAGACGGTCATTTAGAAAGATCCTGAACCTACACAAATACCTGGTATAAAGAATTGAGGGTAGGGCAATTTAGGGTATGACAATATGTCGTTTATACATTAATTGTTATACATTGATTATTATGAATTGTTTTACTCACCCTGTCTGTTTGAATGTTACCTCCACGTGGGTAACGTGCAGATGACCCAGTTTAGTCGTGGACGCCGTTGAGGACTTATTTTTGAAGTTTTAGAGTCGTTAGCTTTTATGGTTAACTTAGAGGTTCTTGCTATGATATGTAACACCGGGTTGGGTTCTTTGAGTTAAACTATATATCAGTGGGTTATTTTACTTATTTTCCCTTATGAGGAAAACCTTGAGTTATGTTTTAAGTTCCGCTGCTTTGTGAAATTTGAATGTATTTTGGGAAAACCCGTGTGTTACAGAGTATTGACTCATTTTGAGACATTGAGAAATGTACGCCCTTTGAGATGATTTCTTTTATTGAGACTTATTTATTTACTCTGAAATTCGTGTTATTTTGCCTTATTAATCGTGGGGTAGAAAAGTGTGTTACATTAGTGGTATCAGAGCAGGTCGGTCTGTCTGGCCAAGTTGTCTAATGTTGTTGGTTCCCTTGTATGCGACATGTGTGTGAAAACACTGTCGATACATGTTTGTTTCCTAACCTTGTCTGCAGAAGTGGGAATGATTCAAGTGGGGGAGAAGCTTGTGCTTCTCTAGGATGCTGCAAGTGTGGAGTTGTGGCTTAGTGTGTCGATGAACGCTCTTATAGTTTGGTAAAGATGGCTTGTACCCCATCATGATTTTCGGTTGTCTATTGACAAATTGAGAAACTGTTCACCCTTAATCTCTTGTTGATAGTAGACGGGGTCATGTTGGATGGGATAGACGTGTCTTGCAAGCTTAGATGGCGTGAGCGGTGAATTGTCTTAAGTTAAGCTAAGTGCTTAAGAATTGTTTTGATGAGTCGGTGCAGGACGATGTTGAGATGTTTATTTTGATGGAAATTTTGAGTGTTAATGAAAGTGGGGAAGTTGGTGGTTTGCCAATTAATTGTGGTTGTCTGGAAGTTATCATGACAAGATAGTGATATACAGCCAGAACTTGAAGTGGAGTTGTGATCGACTTAGTTACGAAAACTAGTCTGATATTGAGGGCTCCATATTATATGTCTGTTTGGATGGTTAAGGAATTAAATTGATTGAGTAGTTTTGAAACCTGTGTCTGGTGTGTGTTCTAAGGCAACAGATTGTGAGGTCGAGTATATTAAAGGTGGACAGTGATTTCTGGTGATTATTAGAGAAAGTCAGATGTGGAATGCAATATTGGTATAATTAGGTCTTTAAATATTTCAAAAGTTGAAGATGTGTTGAATGGTCTCCTAAGTGTGAAATTGTTGTTGTACATTGAATTCTAAGATCACAACTTTTTACGGAATCGAAATCGGACACCCGGAAGTCATTTAACGATCGAAAATAGAATTTCGGACTGTCAGGTTCGCCAGGCGAGCGATATCCTTCGCGGGGCGAAAATGTCCTGGGACAGAAGAATGTTGTTTTCGTAGTTTTGTCGTAACGGGAGAACCGTAACTCGGAATGACGCACGGTTTAAAGTGTTGTAAAGCTATTTCATTGCTCTATATGATGGTGAAATAGTGGCATGGTATTAAGTTATTTATTGATGGAATATGTTTGGATTTTGTAGTGAGTGCGGAAAGTGTGGTTCGCGTGTCCACCATAACTCACAAATTGAGTGTTCGATTGGCATGGGGCTTTCGAAGGATGATGGTTTCGGGTTGAATTACCATTTGGGTAAAGAAGTCGTGGTAGCTGATGCATTGATTTGGAAATCTTTGTATATACTGATGATGATGGTGAAAAGAGTTAGAACTGATTGAGCAATTTTGTGATATGAGTTTGGTTTGTGAAAAGACTTCTTATGAAGTTAAGCTTAGTATGTTGGACCTTACTAGTGGTATTCTTGATGAGATTCTAGAAGGCCAGAACTCTGGTTTGAGTTGGTAGATTGGTTGAATTTGATGAATTAAAGTCGAAGGGCTGATTTTCGGATTAATGGAAATGGTATCATGAGATGTCGTTATAGAGTTTGTGTTCTAG